TAAAGGAAAATTCTCTTCCCAATAAGAAAACTAATGGTGGCTTGTTGAGTCTGTGAGCATTGCACAAAGTACTGAACCAAAATGAACACGTTGTGAAAGTCTCAGTTCAAGGGGCTGGATTCTTGAGTGACATCTGAAGTACCAGAGGGAGAAGTTAGTAGGAGCATTCTTCAATGCATATGGGTTTTTGCTATGTATATGCGTAACAGCATGTGTGCTGTCACTTGGTGTGCAATATCTATGTGCTTCCAAGCAGGGTCCTTCCTGTAAAAGAATAATACAACAGAGTTTTCTTTGTGAAATGGAAGACCATTTCATGAGTAGTCTTTTAGTACTTTCTATATTTCAGTCCCATTTCATACACTCCAGGACACTGCTGACATGAACTGTTTTGCTATGAAACCTAGTATTGGTGTTCTCTTGACTTGATTGCCCAATACAAATAGAAATGTAAGTGAAAATAACTCTTGGCAGCAGTGGGCTCAACTGGAGTCCCATTAAGGTCAGAGCAATAATACCTTCAAAGTTTTATGAAAGTGATGTGGCACTTTATATAACGGTGTTTCTTCAGAATTTATTGTATGGAGCTGCTTTAGTCTTGCCTTGCGTGGAGCCCTCAGAGCTGCTGTGCTCCAGGGAAGGAGGAGCTCAGTGGATTGGAGGGGAGGGGGTGCTCCACTTTGAATGAGGCAGAGGTTACAGGTTCTGTAGGAATGGCAGTTTCCTGCTGCACAGCTTCTGCACTGTTCCACTTTTGCCTTTTGATATCACTCGTGAAAGATGATAGGAATATTGCTGTAGACTTTGATTTTATGCAACCAGTTCTAAACTTTTCAAATCCAATTTTATGCAGGCCAGAAGAGAGAAAAATGCTTTTATTAATGAAGTGGCACTCTCTTTGTTCTGGTTTCCCTGGCTGTGCTTATTACCTTGGCTGTTATGTGTGCTTGGCTCTCTCGACTCATTCTTCTCTAATGTGGTGGTGATGCGGGACAACCACATGGTATCTAAATCCCTATTTTAGAGGGCTTTCTCCTCTTGGCTGAGCAACCCTAGTAACTGAAGTCAAGGAAGCTCTATTGTGCATTGAGGAATGTGGTGGGAAGCTACCATGCCCTTCCTAGTACACTCAGCGTTGGCCGAAAGGTGCTGTGGGAGCAAAGGCTGACTTATTTAAGGGATCTCTCCAGCTTCTTCCCACAAACTGAAACACTGAATTGCAAGTGTCCTACCTGATCTGCTGGCTGACAGCTGCAATTTGTCTTTCCTTCTGCCCAAGCCAAGCCACAGAGCTTATTTAAGAATCTTTCTGTTCCATTCCACTTTAAACTCATTTTAAATTTCAATCCCAATGATGTGAGAGAATGCTTCATCAATCAGAGGTTGTGTACCAAGTGTCTTTGTTGCTGTATCACCCGCTCTTGTTCTGATTGTTGTATGCGAGTCATAGTTTGTGAAAAACTACTGTATATAAAAGTGGGTGGTGAGGGGAAATTGGAGGCCACGGGCTACTTCTGTTGTAATTTATTATTTCTTAGGAGGGCCAGCGTAAGGATGAGTTTCCTCCAATATTTTCTTCCTTATTATCAAACATAGATATGGTTTATATATATATATGTGTGTGTGTGTGTGTGTGTATATATATATATGTACACTACATAGATACACACTTCTTTGTTGAGTTTTCTTTTGTGGTATTGGTTTTTGTTGGTTGGTTGGTGGTTTTTTTTCCGCTCATCAACACACAGCTTTCTCCAATACCTGGAATCTCCAGCTGATGCTCAGTCCAAATTAAGTGCCAAATAAATAAATAAAGATCTAGTATGAGACTTATATAAGTACATAAGTATATAAGTATATGAGTTTATATAAGTACTGGTACACCCTAATGACTTTCACAGCCTCCTTTGGCAAGAAACGCTTTCAGTTCTGCATCTTCATCAGTAGGTGGTGCTGGCTAGCCGCACATTTGTTAGTGCTCTGGAAGCTGCACCTTAATCTTAGGAACAAACGTGGGTGAGAAGATCAAAACTGCTACGTGATCTCAATCCAGCCTCAGAACGGAAACTCAGTTTTGTCCATTATATAGTGATCTGTATTGCCTTATGCAAAGGTTGCTGGGCTTCTGAATGGCTACCAGAATTGCTCAAACTTCTCATGAGCAGAAGTTTTTTCTTTTCTGATTGGAGTGTAGCAGAAATCAAATATAAAGCCAGTAAGCATGGACTTCAGCTTTGCACTGAAGACTGCAGTTCAGGATTAGGTGAATTACAACATGGGAGAACCATACTCTGTGGTACTTTCTGAGGGGATGTAAGAGTAACTGCAATTACTGCTCTGAATGCTTCATCAGTCTGCTACATGCTGCAGCTGAGATTAAGACTTGGTTAGCAAGCATGGGTTTCAGCTCACCCAGCTGGAAACACTTGCCGTGCAGCTGTACGTCAGCTGTGTGCCCTGGCTCTGTAATCAGCGTGGAGAACTCGTGCTTAGGTCAGACGGACCTTGCTGACATGAGGGCCTTCTGTGGGCACAGGGGAAGCCTGCAGCAACTAACTCGGGTAAAGAGTCTGTGCTGGCAGTTCTGACATTTGCTTGGATTAGTTCTGTCCTATTTTTGAGAACCTCGAGAAGCTAAGCTCTGATCGGTCATAGCGCTTTTTTATGTACAAGTGATGTCATTCTCTTTGAGAGCACGGATCAATCCGAGGGAGTTGGGGGATGGATGTGGGTTGGCATCTCATGTCTCTCCCCTTCTCCCCCCCCCCATGATAGCAGTTCTGAAATAGGGGCCTTTTCTACTTCATCATCTCAGATATGGATACCTTTTATCTATGACAGAGATGCAGTGCCAGACATGTCTCTCAAGAAGGAAGTTTTCCCAAGCTCTAAAATAGAAATAAATGCCTTCGTTGATTGGTGGAGAAAGCTGGAGGTTAAAGGTTGGAGGACCCTGCCCTCAGTAGGTGAGCACTGTACAGGATTGGGACAAATTGCCAAGAAACACTTTGAGAACTCTATGTTCTCAAATCACATATGGATTTTGGGAGCTTCACCTCTGCTTTTAGGAGTTCTAATGATTTGTCCTTAAGAGATACATATTTCCTGACTAGTAGATGTTAACAATAACCTGGACCGTAGACAGGAATGGCATTTGGTATACAAAATTAGATAAGCTTGCAGAAAAATATGGAAAACTGAGCCCGCAGGAAAGGGGAGAGATGTCTATACACAGAAAAGCCCGCAGGAAAGGAAAGATATCTATACACAGAAGGACTTATGAGGACAGGAAAGTACTTACAGTGATTTTCTGCCTTTGCAATCAATCTTAAAGTAGAACAGGGAGGAAGTTTATAAGCACAATCCTCACCCCAGCAAATGTAACAGGTGATTCTTCCTCAGCTTCCAACTGAAGTCCTTTTTAATTGCTAGGTATGTCCTTGTGTTTGTGGAGAATTAAGAAGCATTTTAGCCATCTGAAATGGGAAGTTGAAGAAAAACACTTTTAGTGGAAAAATCTTTGTGTGATTTCTTTTTTTGACATAATTTACTATTAGAAGTGAATGACTGATAATCTTGATGTACCTTTCCATAAATCTGTAAATAAACATTGAGCTTTGTGGGAGCTTTTGTCCAGCACTGCCAACATTACCATAACATGGAGCTTCACGCAGGAAGGTATTTCATTTGTTGAAGTGTCTGTTTTGAGGACTGGTGACTGGCAAATGGTAAAAGGAGCTAAGAAAGGGGGACTGCCTGAAGAAATCTCTCATGCATGGGCATACAGTAGACATGCAACAAACAGTAGCTCGTTGTGTTTTTTTCTTTTTTCTTTTTTCTTTTTTTTTTTGTTTTGTTTTGTTTTGTTTTGTTTTGTGGAAGCCTACAGGAGTTACATGCACTTCTGAACTGATTGGAATATCTTAGGTCTATTGCATAATGCACATTTGCTTCCTTTATTTTCCTTTATTTAAACTTTGAAAATTGTATAGTAGCAGTAATGACAGGTGAAAGAATTACTAAACTAATTGAAGCATACTTATTGCAGACTTGTACTGAAGCATGTACTAATTAAACTTAATAGAACATTGTATTATATTAGTGACTAATTATAACTACATAGGAAACCCAACATCATTATCCAATATTAAGTTCTGTTGCTTAATCTGATTTATTTTTAATCCATTTGGGAAGATCTCACATTAAAGTGTTTAGAGAAATGCACACAGTTCATAACTTTTTCAAGTCCCTGTTGTTGGTAGATATTTGTTGATGACCATAACCATAGTAGCACCTTCCTATGCATAAAGGAACTTTATGCTCATGGGAATTATCCTCTAGCTTTTTAATGCAGAATGATTAAATGACAAAGTTTCAGTGCAAAAATTCTGGGCTGTTAAAGAGAAAACTCATCCCTGACTCATCTTCTCCAGAAACAGGGATATGTGCTTGACCCTATGGAGTTGAAGAACATTTCTAAAAATCAATTAAATTACCCTATTCCTGTCACTAAAGAATCAGGGTTAAGCATAGGGGTCTTCATTTATGAGTGCACAAACAGCGTTTTTTCCAGCTGTCGTTATGTCTGCTCCTCAGATGTGTTTTGAGCATAGCGTCGTGCAGTAAATATGTGTGCTGTGTGCAATGCAGTGGGTATATTGGGATAAGTTTTCTGTAGACTCAGGGTCTGTAGTTCCTGCAGACTGAAGGGAAATGAAAAATAAGCAACTGCGGCTTGGCGTTTGTTTGGAGGACGTTAGTTCTGGTCTCTTCCCACTGACTCAGTTGGAAGCAGACTGAGCCGAGGGCAGAGTGGCAGCCGGGCCCTGCTGAGTGCCCCTCTTGTGCCTTGCAGAGCAGCCCGGAGCCGCACAGCGCCCGCCGCCCAGGGCTGACACGCGGCTGGGCCACAGCGAGCCGCAAAGCTGCTGTCCACGTGGACCGGAGCTGAAATCCCTCGTCCGGCGGCCACCAGAGCCTCCCCCGCCAAGCCCCGAGACATGGCAACAAACGGAACGAAGGTGGCCGACGGGCAGATCTCCACGGAGGTTGACGCTTCGATCACCAATGACAAGCCTAAAACTTTGGTAGTAAAAGTGCAGAAGAAGAAGACGGACCTTCCGGACCGAGATACCTGGAAAGGAAAATTTGACTTTCTTATGTCCTGTGTAGGTTATGCCATTGGTTTAGGGAATGTGTGGCGGTTTCCATACCTCTGTGGCAAGAATGGTGGAGGTATGTTTGCTCTTTATTTCTTACAACTTTTGGTCTATCTGCATGTTAGTATTTGCCATAAAAATTGTTAGAAATGTGTTTCAGTAGACGGTTTTTTTTCCATCTGTGTATGTGTGATTTTAGGGATGCTTTTTCTTTTTTTTCTCTTTGCTTTGCTTTGCTTTTAACTAAATCATGAGGGTTGGAAGCATCTCAGAGCAGGGCGCTCTGCTTTGAAGTCTGCTGTGCCCTCGAGTTTATTCTAATGTCTCATTGGCAAGTGCTTATAAAAGACCATAAGGTATTAGAAAAGAATTGAAGCACATTCCCCTCCAACCCTTCAGAACCCTCTTTTGGATTGAGCGTTTGAGAGGATTGCATAAGGCTTGTAACTCTTACTCAGAGCTTATCATCAAAGGCTGGCTTCAGCTGGAAAGCAGCCAGTTCTGGCTAAAGCCTTTATACCGTATGCGTGCTGCTCTTATGGATGAAGACAACAAAATGCATGGTCCATTGTATTTTGGTTTTTACTTAAATGGAAGGTATTTACATGATGGGGAGAGACATTTTTCCTCTTAGCAAAACCTCTTGAGATACTGGTTCAGAACTGTGCATGTGCTTCTCACTAGCTGTTTTAGCAAGCTACACCTCAGAGGAAAAAATGTGGGTTTCTTTCCAGATATAGTAGGGGTGGAAAAGCTAGAAACAGTAGTGGCTTTCTGCACTGTAATAGGCTTTTTCTTATTTCTTTTTAGGTGCATTCCTGATACCTTATTTCCTAACTCTAATTTTTGCTGGAGTGCCACTGTTTCTTTTGGAGTGTTCCCTTGGTCAGTACACATCTATAGGAGGCCTTGGAGTGTGGAAGCTTGCTCCAATGTTCAAAGGTACAATATGAATTTGTATTTCTTTCTGCTTTCCCATGTTGCAGACATTACACGAAGTGGCAGGGCACGGACATTTCTTCATTTTTACTTAAACTACCATATTTTACAGCAACTCCTAATTTTATGAAGTGTAACTGACAATTTTGGGACAAACTAGGATATTATTCATTTCCCTTTAAAAATAGGCATCAACAGACTAATTCTGTGAAATTTAAAAACTCATTTTTGTTAGGAGCATGCAAAGATAGTTCAAAATCTAGCAACCTGTCTGAGCAGGCAAAGAACTTGGTTCCTCGGTTCACAGCATTTTGATAAACCATGTTTCTATTCCAGGTCGTGAGGGTTTGTATCTCCTTTTGTTTTGTACTGATATGTGAAGGCTGGACACTTCAAAGCTAGCAGTTCCAATTTGAATTGCTTGAAAGAAAGATCACTCCATGTTTAGATTTTCAGCTAGTTTGGTTTTCTCAGTTCTAGAACCTTAAGATTTTATCCTGGATTCTGTATAAACCCACAAGCATCACATACTGTGCTTTCCATCCCCTAATCCTAAACCACTTGATACTTAAGAGCTCCTGAGTTGACTTGTGGTCCAGCAAAAGAGCAAGTTATAGGCTGAGTTATGAATTACTTCACACAATAGGACTGACAATTAGCATGAGGTGGGATAAAAGATTTTTTAGGATGGGTTCTGTGCCAGGAAATGTTTGTTTGGAAAACACAAGTAAAAACATTTTTTACTTTATAAAAAACACAAGTAAAAACAAAAACAAACAAAACACAAAACAAAAACATTTCTCACAGATTTGTATTGTAACTGTGCTTGAGTTACTGATGTTGATAGGGAGTACAATGCAAAGTATAGACTTTACGTTGCCCATTATTTTGAATACTTCTTCCTGTTTAGTGTCATGCAGCAAGTGTCAGCAGCCTGAACTTTTTAAAATGCCCCTTAAGAAGTCTCCATGTGGAGCAGAAGAGGACATTTTGATCGCAGAACTCCTGACTTGTTTCTTTAGCCTGAGCTACCAAAATAGCATTATACTAAGCATGAAGTACTTTCAACAGTGAACTAAAGGGCTAACTGGTCTTTTAACTTGTACATATTTTGTGTGCATATGCCAGAAGTTGCTGTGGTACTGTTGTTTTGGAGAGTTATTTGATTTAGCTCTCTTCCCTACAAGTAAGAAAGTCCAGTAAAAAAATCTCAGCAGCAGCAGATGTGAGTGCTTACTGCAGCACTGAGAACTGGGCACTGTAACTGAACTAATTAGATCAGCCATCTCTCAGATTAGCCATTTTTGTAGAGGTACTTCTAGAATTTGAACTTACAGCATCTGGTAAATGCTATCTGCATCATTTGTCCTACTGCAGCACTTGAGCTGACACTCATACAACCATTACAGAAAGTTACCTTCTTTTGGTTCTTCTTTTGCAGGTGTGGGACTAGCTGCTGCAGTCCTTTCCTTTTGGCTAAATATTTACTACATTGTGATTATTTCATGGGCCATTTATTACCTGTATAATTCCTTCACAACTGTAAGTATGGGGTTGAAGTGGAGGGATTTTGTTCAAGGAAAAGCAAAGTGAGGTAGCTAGCTGATTAAACTATCTCACTGTGAAGGTGAGAGATTACACAAAATACAGAAAAATCAGTAGGATAAGAATTTTTTTATTCAAGACGTACTCTTTAAAAATTCAATTTTTTTTTCCTTCATGAGAAACGCAGAATAGAAAACTGGATGTCAGTGGAGAAACACAGTAAAAGCTTGTTTTGGAGCCCTAGGCTTCCCTTTCTTACTGGTTTGTTTAAATTTTCTGATCCTGATCTCCAGAACCATAGGTCTTTCATCTGTCCCCTTTTAGTTTCACTTTATTACCTGTTTGCCATTCAATCACAAGCATGCCTGCTTTCTTCTCTACCAGGCAGATGCAGAGAATCTGTGCTCAGGCTTGTGACTGCTAGTCCTGGCAATGCTAACACGAGTGCTAGTATCACCTTGTCTTTCAACAAAGAGGCAACCAGTCATTCCTCTGAGAAAAATTCTAGTGTGTAAAAGGTTGGGTTTTTGTGTTTGTTTTTTCTTCCTTTTTTTTTCTTTTTTGAGTTTTTTTTAATGTGATAATGTTTTCCAAGATCTGCCATCACAAGAAAATCTATGCTGTATTTGTATCAGATTCACTCTATTACATAACACGTGCAAATAGGCTTTGTCTATTAGAATTTCAGAAAGATAACAATGTAATGTAAGTTTTGTTTTTTACACGTGTCCATTTTTCTAATTGTCCCTTGGCCGAAGGAGATAATTGAACTCTGATAAGTAATCATGATGTTTTTATTATGGGTAGTGCAACAAGAGGTAGCTGGACCTCCAGGAGGTCCTTTGTGCTGCCCTTATTTCTTGTAGTATGCTCAGTGTACTCAAACATGCTGAGAGACATAGCCAACTCCAAAGCCTTTGAGCAGGTATAGTAAAGAAAGGAAGAAATACTTCCACATCTGATTGATGTAATTGATACAAAGCTAAATAACTTACGTGGCAGACACGCGCCACAGGGAGATCAGTACATCACAGAAGTCAAAATATATTAGTTCTCCTTTCTTTTTTTTTGTAAAATGAGGTACTTGGGGTAATGCTTACTTTAAAATTGACTGTTTAGGATTTTCTCTCTTTCTCCTTTGTAAATAGACTCTTCCCTGGAAGCACTGTGAGAACCCATGGAACACTGACCGCTGCTTCTCCAATTATACCTTAGCAAACACCACCAACATGACAAGTGCTGTGGTTGAATTCTGGGAGTAAGCTGAGAATGTTTCTCTATGCCATTTCTGTGCATTTGCAAGGATTAGCTTATTATATTTCATATGCCATCTTCTGAACTGATTATCAAATACACCGTTCTGTTTGCTTTTTCTAGACGCAACATGCATCAGATGACTGATGGATTGGAAAAACCAGGGCAGATCCGATGGCCACTAGCAATTACTCTGGCAATTGCCTGGATTCTGGTTTATTTTTGTATCTGGAAGGGGGTGGGCTGGACTGGAAAGGTAAGATGAAAAAAATACTGTAAGTATATTTTGATTTAAAATGCTTATTTTACTAAGATATTTTGAAAATTTATGAGGTAAGACACAGTGGGACAGTTTTCTGGGACAGTTCTGTTAAGCATTGCGTTTCTGTCCTATTTGAATTGATAGAGTACCATTTGTTTGACAAGGCTCCACAGCTTGCTCTGACCATCTTGGTTAGGGCGTTCATTTACAGACTTCCTAGCTTTGCCAAGTAGAAAATCCCTAAATATAAGTCTGCTTGCTCCTCAAAGGAATATTCTGGCTAGTTTGAATTGTAGTAGAGTGAGGATGCGGCATTTTGACTTCAGTAACCAGTATACATTTATTAAACAACTCTTGATGGACTTAGATATGTAACTGTTGAAAGTGCATGCCAGAACTTTTCCCTTCTTATGCTGAATGAGAGCCAGACATGGTTCTGGCCATAGGCATGCTTGCATACTATACTTCTTTGAGTCTGATTGGTTTCTAAGTACCAAACCGAATTAAAGGAAGTTTATTGTGAGAGATCTTTCTCCAGGAATGGAAGGGTAACAGCAGTTTAGAGTTGGACACTGAAGGGCAGTTACAGTGATGAAATCAGAATGTTAAAGATGTTAAAGTAGCTGTTTGAAAAGAGAAATAAAATGATGATATTCTACAAGCAGGGTTGGAGTACTGCAGCTATGAATCTTGTGGTTTGGGGAACTCCCTTGTTGAACACAAGAAAGAGAAGCACAAGCCCCTGGTGCAGAAGCCTTCTAGTCCACCCAGGAAAGTTGGCAACAACTGCCTGAACTGAAGACACAGTGTTTTGGATGTTCAGCATTAGGCCCTTTGCACTCTAAGCTTTAATTTTTTGGAGCAAATACCTGAACAAACACAGATGATACTTCCGCACTTACAATGTCTTTTTTCTTCAAATCAGGTGGTGTATTTCTCTGCTACTTATCCCTATGTTATGCTGCTTATCTTGTTCTTCCGTGGTGTTACACTGCCTGGAGCAAAGGAAGGCATTTTATTCTATATAACTCCCAACTTCAGTAAGCTTTCAGACTCTGAGGTAAATATCTAGTCTTTGTAAACAAAAGTTTCACAACTAACTTCACCTTTCAGACATAAGATTTGCTGCTCAAGCAGAGAAATGATTTAAATATATATATATATATTTCTTGCCATCAGGTTTGGCTGGATGCTGCCACACAGATTTTCTTCTCCTATGGTTTGGGTCTTGGTTCACTTATTGCCCTTGGAAGTTACAACCCTTTCCACAATAATGTTTACAGGTAAGCAGATGACCGCTCATATTACAGTAGTACTTTGCCCTCTCAGCTGGAGCTGGATTCTATCTTTCTGGGTCCTGTATCTCTGAATTAATGTATAATCTCTGAAGTATTAAATGTTATATGTATGTAAGAATGAGATGTATAACTGCATTTACACTAATGAGAGAGATGTGACTTGTCCAGTGTGAAACGGAACCCATTCTATGAAATGTAAAATCATTAAATTTATCCACGAAACCTTTTCAAAGGAAAAAAATGGTAATATACTGAGCATTAGCATTACTTTACTGCTTAAAACACCTTATCTTTATTTCAGGGACTCCATCATAGTGTGCTGCATAAACTCATGCACAAGCATGTTTGCAGGCTTTGTCATCTTCTCCATTGTTGGATTCATGGCTAATGTCACAAAGAGGCCCATTGCAGATGTTGCAGCATCAGGTATATAATATATTTTTCTCTAAGTTCTTCAGAGACGTCAATTATTTTTTGTTTGTATATTGCATCCCAGCTACTTCACATATTTGTTTAAAATCTCTTCTTCAAAGCATTCCTCTGCCCCCTGTCATTTCAGTAGCACTTAACACTCTCCCTCTTGCAACCAGTCTTTCAAACTTTTTAAGGCAGCACCAGCAAAATCATTTCACATTTAACAGACTGCCTGCCTTCAGTGCTTGCAAAGCTTCAGCGGTGGAGAGTGGTGAGCCAGAAATGCATACTGGGTTGATGCAGTGAATACTAATGAATGTGCTTACAGGGACTGCATTTATAAGAGGTGGCAGCACATGTAGCTGTTTGAGTGCTTGGCAGTGACATCAGATTGAGAGCCCCTTGCTACTGAAATTCTTAAAAACAGCCTGAAAGGAGGAATTATGGTCATTATGTTTTAGGACCATATATTCTCAAATTCGGTTAGGTTTTTAAATTCTTTCTACTGTTTCTTGAGGTCAAACCCTTTGAGGCCTATCAGTCTCTCACTGGTTAAACTACAGCTATGAGCCAGTTTTATGGGGCCTTTTATTAGGAAAGTAATCTTATGCAGGGCAGTACGATAGATCCATAGATAGATTCTGTATACTTTGCAGTTCTTTGCCTTTCTTCCAGAAGAAGCAGCTTACAGAAGCAGAGCAGATGGTTACCTTAACCCAGCTGGTGCACCAAATACTCATTTAGCAATTTTGGCCACAGGGAGCGTTCTGATAACAGAAAGCATGGTCGGAAGTCTGGTGGACAAAATGTGCATTACTGTACTGGCAAACAAACATCACTGATGAAAATGAGAGAATTTAAGCACCAGAAATAGTCTTAATAAAAAAAAAAAAAAAAAAGCAAAAAATGTTATGACATACATTGTTGTCACTTCTTTAAACTGAGAGGAGATTTAGATGAGATATTAGGAAAGAATTTTTTATTCAGAGAGTGGTGAGGCACTGGCACAGGCTGCCCAGAGAATTTGTAGATGCCCCATTTTTGGAGGCATCAAGACAAAATTGGAAGGATCTCTGGGCAGCCTGATTTAAGTTTCTTCTTCCAGTACTTTGCTCTCATCAACAGTTGTTAGGAATGTGAATGAAAATGTTTACCTATTTACAACTACAAAGCATATTAAAATGTGTTTTATAAGAGAATTCATGGTACAACAGCAAATGGAAATACTTTAAGTGCTGGAAAGTGTCTTCTCCATTTCTGAGCTTTGTTCCTCCATTAAAATACTCGATGCAGAGCAGAAGTTAAAGCCATCAGTGATTACTTCAGAGGAAGTAATTCAGAGGCTGGTTCTTAACTGAAGATATATTCCTAGCTAAGGACAACATTCCTTGTTTACTATACAAATGTGTCTCCCAGGAGTGACTTCTGAACTTTATCTAGTGTTTTCCTTGGTTGGTTTGGGTTTTTTCAGGTTTTGTTTTTATTTTGGTTGGTTGTTTTTTAATGCAAGATGTGTGCACTGATTGTGCAATTAACACCATTTGAGCCGAAATCCCTTGATTGACAGATGCATCCATGACTATGTCATTCAAATAAACCCATGTATCAACAGGAGTTGATAATCCCAGAACCCAATCAATCACATTGACATTTTGTATCCTTTTTCTCCTACAGGTCCTGGACTGGCATTTCTAGCTTATCCAGAAGCAGTGACACAGTTACCAATTTCTCCTTTGTGGGCAATACTGTTCTTCTCCATGCTGCTAATGCTTGGAATTGACAGTCAGGTAATATTGGCATAAAAATTATTAACAATAAAGAAGATGAGTTTTCCGCAAAACGTATGGTAGAATGTTGGCTGTGCTCTGTGCTTTCCACATTGCCAGCTGTTACTGGTGCATTGGTTCTGGTACAATCAGATAAACAGAAGGAGATAACAAGGAGGGAAAGAATTGGAGGAGCCTTTCATTTTTCGTGAACTGTATGGAATCTAATAATTAGGCAATTTATTCTGCAAACAGAGGATCTTCATGTAGAATCTCAACCATTCAATCACAGCATTAAAATACTTCTGAGTTGTTAATGAACTTGGGAAACGTTGACATATTTTTTACAAGATTTAAATAGCACAAATATTTCTGAAAGGTGACCGTGCCCTATGATTTGTAAGAACTGTAAATATTGGTTACTCTGATTTCATGGTTGGAAATTAGTAAAACATGTTTATTTTGAGTATAAAATATATATATATATATACTTGGAAGACTGTTACATTTACATTCTCAGTAAAAATGTTACCATTCTGTTGACATTTCTGGAGCTGCAGAAAGTATCTGCTTTATAACATTTTAGAATCAATCTTGTGTCTCTAGTCTTCGCCCTGAAGCACGGATCTGATCAGACTTTTTGAGTCTATTGGCTTTCATATATGTAAGTAAATAATGGAAGAAGTCAAGGTTTTTTGATAGATCGTGGACCAAAGCCTTCAACTGCAGGCTTCCATCACAAGAAGGAGCTCTTTCTGTTGATAAGCACATACTATAGGTCATACTTTCGAATGTTGAATGTTTTTCAAGCTGGGAATCTTTTTTGCATAGATCTTTTCAGACAGAAACAAGGATATTCAGAAGCACTGCTTCCTCTGCAGTCAGATAAATTTTCCTTTATCATTTAATGGATGCAGCCTTAGGCCTGTGATGAGTGTTATTAAAAACTCCTCCCCTAAACCCAATCCTGCAGTTGCAATGCATCACGTTGTATTTTATTTCTAAATGTACTTGCAGTTCTGCACTGTCGAAGGATTCATAACAGCTTTGGTGGATGAATTTCCAAAGTTACTGCGCAATCGAAGGGAAATCTTCATTGCTGTTGTGTGTATTGTTTCCTATCTGATAGGGCTGTCCAACATTACTCAGGTACGTTCAGTAGAAGAACGTGTTCTTATTTCTGCTGTACCATATCTGCTTCATTTCCCTCTTCCACCATCCCCCCATAGAATCATTGCAGAGGCTTCGGGAAGCAGACATTAGCTTGCAGGTGTACAGTCTCTGTATGCCCTGGATGCAGTGAGGCTTGCTGAATGGTTCATGTGATGAAAAAACGCTCATATCCACAATCCCTCATACGGTTCAAGAAATACTAACTAGAGATGCTCTCCATTGCTTCCTGTGATCTAGTAGATTGCAGACAGATTGAGGGAAGTGTATGAATTGTTGAACAAAAAGGAGTAAAGTGAAATCAAACCATTAATTGAATTCTGGCTCTAATCTAATTCTTGTCAGTACTGACCTCATGCATTAGAAGACTTCAAGCTGTTAATGTTAATTAATTTACATTGTACCCTCTGCTGCACTGTTGGTTTTTAGCTTGTATTTTAATCCATTTTGAGATTGAAGTCCTTAATACTTATTCTAACACTTCCTCCTTATGTGTTTTAGGGTGGAATCTATGTGTTTAAGCTTTTTGACTACTACTCTGCCAGTGGGATGAGTCTCTTGTTCCTTGTATTCTTTGAGTGCATCTCCATATCCTGGTGCTATGGTAAACAAGTTTTTGGGGTTTTTTTTGTTTTGTTTTGTTTTTCCACATTTGCAGCTGGAATTGAAACTGGCCTTGCTTTCTGTGCACATAACTCCACTAAGGACTCCAAGGTGGTTGGTGTAAGGTACTCCTGCCTAAAAACACCCTATGTCCCTATGTATCAGCCTCAAAGTGATGAGATGCTGGGTGTTTCAGAAGCACTGACATCTTTTCCTTTTTATTTATTTATTTTTTTTGTTTCCCTCTCTCAACGTAATGAGTTGGGTCTCTTGTACCTTGTAATGTTTCTTTTCCAGAAATGGTTCTGTTACTTTAGGGTCTTGGAGGGAGAGGTGGGCTCCTTGCTCAATTCTGTCTTGCATAACTGCTCTAAAATATTCAGAAGTCTGGGCTGACAAGCTCTGTGTTTAAAGATGAAGAAATATATATAATATAATATTCTTTCCATAGTATTTGTATGTTAATTTTGATGTTACTAAGGAATGTTAGGTTGTGTTACGAAACTGATTCAGAGCTAGATAACTGGAGTCTTTCTGCTGCCTTTATATAGCCTTAGAGGAGGAAACAGCTTTTATAACCAGCCTATAAATCCTACAAATGTGATCGGAAAATGCACCAGCTAAGTAATAAAGAAATCTAATAGGAAGTTATAAATAATGCAGTAGATGTACCTTTTGGAAGGTGATGGATTATTAGCAGATAGCAGCAGCAACAGAAGGGCTAGGCTACTCTTTGATTTCATGTGCAGCTCTGCATGTATTCAGTGAACATACACTCCACAAAGTGAAGCCTGTGCTGCTGGCTAATGGTGGTATGGATTTATATTTTTCTTTATTCTGTGAAATATCATTCTAAATATCTATTTCTTCTAAGACCAATTTATTGTATGGACTTCCGCTGTCTTTGCAGAGGAACATTTTCACTGGTAGTAGAGAAAATAAAAAAAGATTAAAAAATGATTTTGGTTCTTATGAATTTGTACATTTCCCATTCCAGTAGGTGAAATGTTATGTCAATCGAGGTCTATATAGAGCTTCTAAATATACTACTTCATTTGTGACAGTCTTTCGAAAGCATTGAGCTTTCAATTGAATCAGTTATGTGATAATTTCTATATTGTTTCTTATTTTTATATTTAGGTGTTAATAGATTTTATGACAACATCCAAGAGATGGTGGGATACAGACCCTGCATCTGGTGGAAGCTCTGCTGGTCATTTTTTACTCCAATCATTGTGGCAGTAAGAAACAAACTTTTATAGTATGGTTTAAGAGAGATACACAAGGTGTACTATGCACTCCACTATTGTCCTTTACACCCCCATAGTTTCATACCAGACCTGACCTCATCCTTTACTTAAGGGTATGAGCAATTCCACTGAAGGCAATAGGCAAAACCCCTTGTCTTTAGAAGAAGCCTGTGCACTAAGAAAAGAAACACAACACAATTTCAAGATTTGTATTAGTCTTCTGGAAATGCTGATTAGTCAAAAGCACAGTTAATTGGCACAGAAGTAAGAAACAAATTTTGACCATTTCATGTATTCTTAAGTAAAATTTGCCAGTCTTTGTATATTTTCTATGTACACAAAAAAAAAAACCAACCATGTATTGTAAACTGAATTCCTTCAGCAGGGCTATTCAGGCAACAGATTACATTTATAAGCTGATGTTCTTCCTTCATGGGATTCTGTAGAATATATTACCCAATTTGTAAGGCATTTCTACTGTTTTTTCTGTCAAACCTTGCAAGGATTTTGTGCTTTGGAAACCACAGAACTGTCCTTTACTGATTCTAGGCTTTGTCCATTTAATCCCATTCAGTGTCTTTTGGAAATAATAAGTATAGAAATGTAAGCTTAATACGCAGACTTAGTAAGACCAAATGCAATTTAAAAATGGTTTCAAGTATACTTGACATAATACTTCTCACTCACTGCTATTTCCTTGATATTCCCAAGTGGGTAGCCAAAGACCATAGGTAAACAAACAGCACTAAAGAGAGGCACAACAGGGTTATTAGACAGAGGGTTCTTTGATTCGTCTCTACACAAATGAAGAAGGTTTTTGTTTTCTGAAAGCAAGTGTTGAGGAAAGAATAAAGAGTACATTTAGTTTATTAGGTGATGAGAAATACTACAGATAAAACCTATCAATCAAATTTCTCCTGTCCTGTAAGGTCTTCATTGTAATTTGTTGTCCTGTGCAAGGTCACATGTGATGATAAAGTGCAAATAAAATCTGCCAGTCTGTATTCTGCTCTCTGGCAAAATGTTCTGCACAAGGACTGAACCTGGGATGAAAAAGAGATTCTCTTTCCTGATTCAGTTTATCATGTTTTCCTTGATGTGGGCTGCTTTAGACATTTAGTGTACAGGCTGAGACAAAAATCTGCTTTGGGAACCTGAAGTTAAAAATACCATGTTTTCAAGTTAGTTGTTTAAAAACCATTAAAATAAAAAGTACCCCACGAGTGCTGCAGTTCAGTGGTACAGCAGACACATTCATGCAGGTATTATTGGGGAAGTAGTTCCAGAACCCTCATCTTTCCCAGTAGCCCTCTTCCCTCTGATTTTGTGCAGGTTATCTAAGGACTGTAGCAATACCAGTGGATTCCTATCACCAGCATACCTGAATTACCTGAGATACGAGTCATATATGTAAAAATACAGTGTTAACTTGAGGCATTAAGATTAATTTGGTAAGAAGCAGCCAGGTAAACTATCTCCCAGTCTCTTGTTATTAAAAAAAAAAAAAATTAAGTGTATTTTTTTTTAATTTCGTAAGAGATATTGTTTATACAGACCAATCTGTAGCCACTTACTGATCCATAGGTTCTACTCTCTGACCTCATTTTCTGACTTTGCTTGGAGGATCCAAACAGTACCAAAGCATTCTTAAACATTAGAGAGGTCAGATACTAGAGAGTCAGGCTTTAAGGAACCTTTTTAATACAGGAGTCCCTTGCTGACCAGTGCAATGCAACTGTATTAAAACAATGAGAAACTTAGTAAAAACCAGAAACTTAATAGTTGCAGAATTACAGTTCAGATATTTGCAGATTTGCAAACTTGAGAATAAGCAAGCAGGGAATCAGTCAGTTGTACCATGCTGACATCTGCCTGTTTTCTGCAATGTCTGTCTGGAAGACTGATCTGCAGGCTACAAGTTAGTGCCTGCTGCCCTATACCCAGGGAACTAAGGAGCCCTTTTCTCTGTGCCTCGATGTAGAAACAAGTCAATCCAGAAAATCTTTTGAACATAAAACTCATCCAAATCTTCTCTCTCTCCCTCCCACCTCCCCACTCTGTTTTGCAGGGAGTGTTTATCTTCAGTGCTGTCCAAATGACTCCTCTCACAATGGGAAGTTATGTTTTCCCAAAATGGGGCCAAGGAGTTGGCTGGTTCATGGCTTTGTCTTCTATGGTGCTGATACCAGGCTATATGGCATATATGTTTCTTACCCTGAAAGGCTCCTTGAAACAGGTAAGTATCTCTTTTTCCTGTCTGCGTGATTGAATCCTGTAAAACCTGTGCACTGACAAAAAATTGCTGAGCAGTTATTTTCTAGTTACATCCTTTCTGTGGACTCACTAACAAGCCAGTTATTTTGCATCAAGATGGGAAGTATAAAAACGTGTACCAAACAGACAAGATAGTGTCTATATGGTCTGCTGTTCAACACTTTTCCCCACATTAAGTGTGGTCCTTATTTCCAGGCTTTGACAATTCCAGATGCTTTGCACCTCAGCTCTTCATACCCATGAAAAAAGTACCAGTTTGCAAAACACGTAAATTTGTCCTTATTAATGCAAGACATGCTTTCATCTATCAAGGCAGGTGATGCTGAAAGGAATAGGAGTCAAACTCTTACAAGTGAACCGTTGCAGCTCTTGATTTTCTTGAATCTGCTCATAGTGAATCTGTTCAGCATCTCCCTGCAATGTGGTCAAATATTTGAGCTTCTGTTCTACATTTTGCCTGTTGAAAGCTATAATGGCTGCCTGATTGTGTTGCATCTGAGAAAAAGTACAAGTTAAAATCTCAGATGTATCTCATGATTATGCTGCATCTTCTGTTAGTTCTCAATTAAAGGATTTCTGTTAAGAGTTATTTTAGTGAAGAACATTAGAAGCCATCTTCTTTTCATTGTATTCTGCTCTTAGCCTCTCCCTGAGTCCGTATTCCATCTGTTAAAAAGGAGATGACACTTCCCATGTGACAGAGGCTTCTTATGGCTTAAATCCATTTTAAGATCCTCGGGGAAATGCTGCTGACAGTGTGAAATGCTAATAGGGTTACTGACCAGTATACTGTTTAATTGTCAATTGTCCTCCTTAATTTTTTGAAGTGTGTGCATCCTTAGTTTTCTCTCTCCAGGCAATAGTCTCATTCTGTGTATAAGAGACACTTCAGTTGAAGCACACAACTCTGTCCTCCATGACTATGTGTCAAAGTGATTTTGTCAGAATTTCTGAAATATTCTAAAATCAGCTGACAGAGCCATCTTTGCAAAGAGGCAGATGATCGTAAGCAGAATTGATGGGTAATGGCTCATGAGTTGCTCAGACCTGTATCCAAATATTTCTCTCCAGAAAATTTTAGAAGACTTAGCAATGCTTCAGAGACTTCTGTAAAATATTTTCTGTTATTACTGACATATGCATTTTCTTACTCCTACTTACTCAGTATCTTTATCTTGGTCTTAAAAAAAAGTTTAGGTGCAAATGGACAATTGTTGCCCTTATATCAATAATTGCTTCCTTGCCAAGATTGTAAGACCACAATAGAAGTTCCTCAGTTCAGTCTTCCTGTAGATTCCTTCCATTTGTGAAAGCATTTGAATGATTTTCAAATTTTGAATGCATTGACAAATGTTTTCACCAACAGAGTGGAGCAAGTGATTGTTCTCTTCTATTATTGGAATTGGAGTTTGATCGTTAAGGTTCCCTTCCAACCTAAGTCATTCTATGTTCCTGTGATTCTGTGATCATCAGATAATAGGAAACATGGCAGTCACATGCTTTGACGTTGTAAAGTGGACTCCCTTTCTTGGTACAGGTGTGAGCTACACAGATGAGCTTCATGACTGGAGAACACAAAAGGACTAGGAGTGACCAAACAGAAATAAAAAGATCATAAATACAAGTCTACCGAACCTTTTATATTCTTAGAGGTAGTAACTCATAGAAGCTGCAACTGCTTCTCTCTCATCTTTCTGACCCATGGAGGGGTTCACCGTCACTTCTCTGAGAACTGACCACTGCCCATGCTGCCCACTGCAAACTGTTTAACCTGTCTGCACTGTTTAACCTGTGCCCTTGCAAGAGCGTCTTGCCTCTCCTACTCCATACTACAGTCTCCCCAAATTTCTTTCCCCTAGACATACTCAGTTGAATGTTCCCTGTGCATATGACATGTACCATTGTACTTGTGGTCTTTCAAATCCTACTGTCATGTCTCCTACAGAGCACAGTTCAAACTGCTCAAAATAGTTACAGACTGACTAAGCTTTATGCCATTCCTCACCCTGCTCCATGTTTCTGCATAGAAACAAGACTAAGATGATTTGGTTTTGTTCCTATTCCAGAAAACTCATGGAGCAAAGATCTTTTAAAAGTTTGCGTTCGAATCTCAGTACATGAGCCATTTAAGAATAGCTTTACTTAACACAAGTAAATTTTCTTATTGGACTGGAGTGGGCTATTTTGTGACATGCTCAATATCAGTAGTATTTTTGATAATGTTTTCAATATATGAGACCAGTATATATAGGACTTTAGGAGATGGGCAGAATTTTTTCACCTTAGCTCCAATACCTAGCCAGTGATTTTCTTAAAACATACAAACAAAAAAACAACCTAGAAGCAGATTTTTGACTGCCTTGCATTTTTTGTTGTTCTTTAAACAGCGCATCCAAGTAATGATTCAGCCCAGTGAAGACATCAGTCATCCTGAAAATGGGCCAGATCAGGCCCAACAGAGCAACTCCGCAAACAAAGAAGCCTACATCTAAACTTCTGTATTACAAAAGTACAAATACTACTCCAGAAAAACAAAAAATATGGTTGAATATGACCACAAATTTAAGTCTGAGAATATAATTACCTACCTCTAGTGGCAAAAAAAAAAAAAAAAGAAAAAAAGAAAAAAAAAGATAAAAAGATAAAAGGTCACCTCCATTCTAAGGGAATCGCCATAGGTATGATCCAACCATTGTGCGAGCTCAGATGTTGACAGTATTTTGTGTTCTCTGGCAATCCACAGACTGTTAATGTTTTTATCCTTTCAGAACAATAGTTGCATATCTTGGCATTTGTAAACCGATGTGCAAAACCTTTTTAATCTACCTTTTAGCACGACTATTTGAAGTTTTGTGCTACTGATTTTTAGTAGTTTATCAGTACTTCTTACCACTGAATCCCAAGACTGTTATTTCTGACTTTGCAGGAGTAAAATTAAGTTTGGAATTGTTTTGTACAAAAGAATGACGTATTTTGTAACCAAGTGATTTGCAGTGAAAAAGTCTGCCCTTAAAATTTGTTCTTGTCAAGGCCATTTGAGCAGGGAGAGACTTCTTTGAATTGACTGAGAGTCACAGTAGGCATAGCCTTTATGAACATTCCTACTACAAATTAAGTTATTATATGGCTATTTGTAGCAAGGCAGCATAGCAGGGCTGCAAACACTACCTGTTCTTAACCTTTCAGGATAACTTTCACACAAGATTGTGGATTTTTTTTTAAAAGCATATACTCTATCTTATAAAAAGAAGTCATCTCTGTGAAGCAGCACTACATGAATCGCAGATGTAGGGGCAAAAATGTGACTTCTAACTTTTTTTTAGGAAGATGAGAAGTAACATGCAATTCTTAAGAGCTCTTAAATACTCCCAGCAAAAAAACAAAAAAAACAAAAAAGAAAAAAAAAAAAAGAAATACAGGGTATTTGCAATTCAAGCTCAGAGTACTTGAGCTTTTGTTATGCTGTTATTATTAGCTATTATTGCATTGCCACCAAAATAGAAACCAAAACAATGGTTTAAAGATTGAAGCTTATCCTTGTAATTCTAATTTAGGGTTTTATTTCACAACTGTTTTTTTTAATCCATTAAACGACTTTAACAGTTTCAAATAAGCAAATTATAAAATATGGATCATAAGCACTTTGAAAACAGTTTTATTTTTATTTACATATTATTTGTGGTGATGAAGGCAGGAGGGAAAGCTATTTCAGTAATATAAAAATTTCCACTCCGGGCTCCATCTGCATTTGCCACGTAGCTGGAAACCCCATTCAGCTAGTGGAAGTTTTCTCTGTGTGGAAGATGCAGTAGTTAGCCCTGTATGGCATTTCTTGTTTGGCAGCTATATGACAGACACAAAGGTTTATGGAAAATGCAGTATTTGATGTTTGATTGTAAATGACTGTGACAGAACTGTGCAATGAAACATGCTTTTCAGCAATTTTTTGTGCAACGTACAATGTTAGATAGCACAATTTATGTAGAACTACTACGTGAAAAACGTTAACTGTGAATGTTGGGTTTTTCGTTGTTTTTGTCTGAAGGTGACAAACATGTTCTTGCAATAAGGTATTATTCTCAGAATGTCAAGCACATTATTGTAGAAATAATATATATATAATACACATGTATTTCAAACTACATCATAAAATCTCAGAGTATGTTCGGTAGGTTCTAATCTGTTTCATACATAGATCAACTGTAAAATATTATGACATCTAAGCTACATCCTAAATGGCTATGGCTGAAATGCAGAAGTCCTGTAAGTCTTTGGGATTTAGAGGAAAAGTAACACACACACACATTATACATGATGCATACACATTATAATTGTGAATTTCATTAGACTAAGATAAAAATTCCAACTTTATCGTTTAATGTAATCAAGTCCCATGTTGTTCTAAGAAAAATGCAGTATTTAATGTTTGATTGTAAACAATTATGACAGATGTTTGACAGACCTGCTCTTTAGCAAAAAGCTGTACAAACGTACCACATAGCACAAAATAGTGTTGTAGAACTACTGTGTGTAAACTGTGAATAGCTGTATCCTTTTTGTAGTACTTGCCCTGAAAAAAAGATTATTGTATGATCATATATGCTTTTTGCAATAAGGAGTTATCTGAACACCAAGCAAATCTATCTCTATATAAAAATATATATGTAATATATACATATTCAAAAATATATACAGAGCCTGTTTAAAAGAGTACAGTATTATTTAGTAAATTGCAACCTGTTCTATGGACCAAATGTAAAATATTTATAAATTAAGATGCATTTTAAATGTCTATAAATGGTGTCATAATTAAAGCACGATTGTTATGTAAGTTTCCAAGAGTTTAGAGGAAAAAGAATAAAGGTTATATTATACATTAAATTCAGAATGATGCAATCTTTCATTGGACAAAACGAACAACTGTTAAATTGTTTTCTGTGAGGTAAGTTCTAAATGTTTTGGTTATTGTTTTTAAATATCAGAAGGCTGAATCACACTTGTGACACTTATGTTTAATCCATTATGCTCTTACTATAATTCAGTTTGTATATGCATGCTTTATACAGTAAGCTGAAACGGTGACAGTGTTCCTGATTCCGATAAACGTGGTCTGTAGCAGAAGAGAAGCAACGCGATGCTTGTTCTCAGAGTTGCATCTCTGTCTCTCTCCTAATAACTGGGCTCTGACTGAAAAGGGATATTCTATGACTTAGTACTCTACAATTTGAAAACAAAGCCAAAACAAATGCATAGGTCGTTTTACCCATTCATCCAACAAAAAGTTAAATTTGAAACTTAATCAGTTTTGCCTTTTAGTCTGGAAGATCTGAGTATATGTTTAAAAGTGTTAAATTCCATGTGGCATGTAGGATTACCAGCTAGTTTTTGACTTCCTGATGAATTAAGACCTAAGGTCTAGGTGTCTGGATCTACTTATATTATTCCAACAGGCAACGAGGAAAAAAACCTTGAAATTTTCCTTTTTCTGAGAAATCTACCATTTACCAAACTTCTGATAACAGTCAATAGGTATACAGAGTGCATCTGTCTTACTGTCACAAGATTAAGTTGGATGTTCCACAGGAAAAGGCTGAGAGGGGCAGGCAGGATTGGAATGAGGGCAGCTTGCATAGACAAATCTCCAGAATGAAGGCACTGCTCGTCGGAGAAACAAAAGTGGCTACAATACCAAAAGTGAAAGCTATGTTTTGCAACTAGAGAATTAATTCATCAGACTCAAGCTTTGAGAATTATCTGTTCATCGTGAAAATTCCTACAAGCAGAATGGTGGCTGGTGTGTTTCAGACTGGTAGAGAACCTGCTTAACCATGGCACTGGAGGAAACACAGTGTTAACAGAGTGCTCTGCTGCACTTTGACTTTTCACTATGCAGGAGGCCAACTGACAGCATGCTGGGCTGGGGGGTCTTGCAGAACACCTGTATCTATCTGCTCTTGCCACTGCCTTTCCTACTGAGAGAAGGACTGCTGAGCACTTGCACCCCATGCCTGTATCTGTTCCTGTCCATGAGGTTTGTCGCAGTCAAGAAATTTGGAGCTGCATGCTACAGCCTCACCAGGGCAGCACAGGAGGTGGAACCAGAAAATAAAAATCCACTCCCCTCACAAAAAGGCTTTTCTTCACCTGCTTTTCTAGAACTCAAAGTGATGCTTTTGACTCATAAAGACACAATCTGCAGTTAGTAACACTGCCTGGTATCCTGCTTCTTTAACACTCCTGTAGGAAGATGGCAGACCAGGACCTCTGAGCAGCCGTAGTAACTAGCCTCCGTTTTAAATAAAGCTTCATCAGGTACCTTTCTGCTGAGACACTGGGGCAAGAGCTGCAGCACCTGAATTCACTGATTTCTAACCCTCAACAGAAGCAAAGCTGGAACCAATGGGCTGGTGAAACAGCGGTGTTATCCTAAACAGCTATAGAGACATTGCTACAAAAGCCATTTTTCTCTCTGCCAGTTGACAACAGAGGCAATGTCATGTGAGTTCCACAGCAGTTTGTCTTACATCTAGGTCTAATGTGATACCTCTGCTGAGGAGCTGAATGCTCCTGTGCTCTGAATTTAATTATCTAAGTAGAAAATTGGAGCAGGACGTCATGCTGGGAAAGAGTCTGAGCAATTTAGAGAACATGATTAGAATTGAAAATGCTTATGATAGAAGCATCCAAAATCATAAACTTCAAATTCAAAGTGCTGCCCTTGGAAAGGAGCACTCAAACGTGCAAGTACAAGGGGAGGGCCAGTCCTTGTTCTGCTTTTTAGAAAAGGTTGGGGAGGAAGGGAAGAAACATGTAAGGCAGATCACAGATTTTTATTTCTGGAAATGGGGGAAGGAGCAACTTCAATGGTTTTGAAATCCAAGGAAATAATTAAACCATCTTTAAAGTTTATTTCAATCAGCATTATGTGTTGTATTCATCATCTGCTGCTTTTGGACTATATTGTAAGAACAAGGATGAGAGTTGCATTTGGGAGAAGGGGATGCATTTAGTGCTGGGTGATTGGCCAGAGAGCAATTCAAGGGGCAAAACATGGCTGAGGAAAAGGAACCTAGTTGAAGGATGTTGTGTTAGTGCTGTGATATTTCCATGCTCTCCCGGAGGAATTTTCCCTTGCTACGCTGCAGAAATCCCAACAGCAATTCAACAAGAAGAATGCAAATAAGGTCACATCTTCCCTACAGGACTGCAGGATGCCCTGAGAGAAAGCCATGTCCTTGTTCGTCAGGAGTATTAGTTCAGCTACGTGTGCTTTTATTCTAAAATAACTCTATGTTGCTCTTGGGTTTTTTATTTGTTTTAAGCCTGATTATTTCTGTTCTGCTCTGCTCAGGCCAAAATGGAATTATTACAATTAACTATTAAGATCACACAACGCCACTGTTGGCTGGTTCTCAAGAGGGGAGGGGCTGAGGGTGGCTGGCAGCCCCAGAGTTACAGCCCAGTGGCAAGGCAATGCATTGAGGTGCACACA